TAAAATTATTTTAACTTATTAATTTTTCAAAATATTTTCTGGCATTTTTAAGTATTAAAATATATCATGTTAAACAGTGTTTTTTATATAAAAATTACATTATTCCTTAAATTCGACGGCTATTTTTCCATAGAAGAAAAGGTGTCGGGACAAATATTTTTTTGAACTTATAGTATTTATTGTAAGCTTTAATTTGACATATATCTAAAGCTTGGAGTATGTATAAGGAAAATGGTCTAATTTAAAAAAAAAGTATGTTAAATGAAAGAAGTAAACATAAAGTGCTTATGGAAAAAAATTGTATTGATCCATACATTTTTCTAAAAGTTATAGTAATTTAAAGTTAAAAAAATAAAATAAAATAAAATTTGACACGTGTTTAAAGCTCCAAGTATTTCCAGAACATTTTCAAATGTTAAGTTAAAAAAGTTAGTTTTTGTAAAAAAGTTGTTATTTTAAATCCCTCCCTGTAATCAGATTAAATGTTAGATTTTAAATAAATGATATAAAATGAAAGAAAAATATATAAGGTTTCAATATAAAAAAAATTATGTTGATTTGTTCATTTTTAAAGAAGTTATGGTAGTTTTAAGAAAAAAAAGTGAACAATTTTCAAAAATTACTGATTTTTAAAACTGTAATTTGTTAGATTTCCCCCATTTGCGGGGAACGAAGCAAAATTTTTAAGAGTAATGTCTTCAACTAAATACGATTTGTGATATTGACGTATTGTTGAAAGAAATTGGTCCAGTGAGAGTTGAGAAAAAGTGGCAACAGACACACAAAAAAAAAAAAACATATCGTGGTAAAATTAATATCTTCACAGCTTCGCATCGAAGCTAAAATTGAATTGAATAAAGAAGTTCACGATATATAAGGTTTTCTGAAATTCTAACGAATCATTGTGAACAGTTTTTGACATGTTAAATAATTGACAAACAAACATTGTTTTTACTAGCTTCACAAACTTTTTTCGATTAAATGTACAGTAATGTACATAATTAAAAATACAGTATTGTTACTTCATTTTGTGATTATTTATGGCTAACTTAGGAAAAACAAATGCTCTAAAATAATTACAAAAAGACATGTACATTAAAATAAAAAGTGTCAATGTTTTCATATAAGAAGAAAAAAAATTATTATTAAATATAAGTAAATAAAATTTGATAAACAAAATTATGCACAAGGTAATATAACGAGATACAATTTTGTAATATAATTCTCTTACAAATATTAATATAATTTTTATTGGTCTAAACTTTATATTAATTTAATTTTTTTTTTATCTGAAGACTCAGTTTTTATGCAATTATTATTTTTATATTATGGCGTTTATATTTAATAAGCATTACAATTGTTTACTAAAATTTACCTTGTTTAAATATGTAAGTTCAATTAGTAGTATTTTTTATTATGAAATTCAATAGAGGGCAGTTAACACTAATTAGTCTAATAGTTTAGTTTATTTTTATGTATAAATATCAATATTATTTCTATGTAGGAGTTTACTAGTCGTCTTTATTTTAAATAAATATTTTTTTTGAAGAGAAAAATATTGAAAATCTGTGACTGGATAACAGATGCGGTCAAATAATATGATACGGCCCCGCGTCGCTTTGTGATACTTGGAGCTTAGCGATTCGCGCCATATTTAACAGCCGTCTCCCTATTAAGTGTATATGATAGTTGACTGACCAACGCTGCGTACTATACGTCACGGTACAAAGTCCAACGAATCATCACAATAGTCGACAGCATCACGACTGTTTTGTTACTGCGATTGTTCAGTTTCCTGCCCCATAATTTTTGGTACTAATTAAAAATAAACGTCATTCATCGAACCTATAAATCTTTTGTGTCGATTACACGTTTTATTAAATCTACCCCCTCATTTATTCTACAGCATTTCAGATATTACCTTGGAAGGATGAAACCTTAGTGATAAAAAGCATCATGATAGTTTTTTTATTTGTACTACTGTATAAAGAGGTTATTATGGACTATTAGATATGCATAAATGAATTTCTTCTTGTTAAGCTTATATATCAATTATTACATTTCTATTAGAATAGGACTCCGTTAAATAGTTTACTGTAAATAGTAGTTATAAAATTTCTTGACTCTATATCAATCTTAAGAATATCATTTGTTTAACTCTTATAAAATTTTCTACTGAATGATGTCAATTTCAAACTTGAAAGATGAGCTAAAAATAGTATATTGTAAAAAGGTCAACCTTAATTTATTATAAACTTTCATAAAAATTAACTTTAAAGGGCCAAAAAAATAGGTTAAAAAAGACATTTTGCACTGATTATTTTTAACATATTAAAAATCGGTAATTATTTGAAAACATTTTTTTTTTGTTTTTAATTATTTTATTATTATTGTTTTTATTATTTTATATGTAAATACTAATTTTTTACTAATTAGTAATCATATCAAAAATTAAAGTTGATAGAAAAAGTCTAATTGCAGATTTGAAAACAGCGCGAAAATCTGAGTTAAAAAAGTACATTTTTGATTCTGATAAATATTCCTTGCAATCCAATGTATTTATATACAAGTAACATTTTTTTTTTTCAAAAGTATTGCATCAATCCCTTTAATTTTTATACACGTTAGTCATTGAAATAACAATTGAAGCGTTTCCTATGATAGTGATTTGAATTACTGTTAGATATCATCTATATTTGTACCAACTACGCCACGTCCACATTGCGCTATTTAATATTTAAAAGCACGCTGAATGAAAAATTATAATTTATTTTAAGAAATTCTGTGCTGTTAAATTAAGAGTAAGTTTTTATATTTTTAAAATTAATAATTTACGTCATTTAGACACTCAGTTAAGCTATTTGCGAGTAATTTTGAATTGTTACTATAGTATCAACTTACTATAATAGTTAAAAATTATACATCTAAAAATGAATTAAATTTTTTTTGAAATAATAATAATAATTAAATAATTTACTAAGTCGTATAGGTGTAATCAACATGATGTACTGATTATTATAACGATCTTTAAACAGATAATGTATGTATTTATCAATATCAATTTAGTTTACAGTAACCCCATTATAAAAAAAATTATCTATGGTATTTTCTTGTATTACAAAATAGAATTATTAATATTATATAATTAATATAGTGATCACTGTGTAAATGTTGGCACTAAGTATGTGATGACAACTACATCCACGAAGGAGAGAGGATAGTAGAATCTTTGGAAAAGTAGCCGATAACTACTTTTTTTTCTATGTTATGTACACTCTCGCAACGCTGTTTTAAGAAAATTAAAATGTCACNTTATGTACACTCTCGCAACGCTGTTTTAAGAAAATTAAAATGTCACATTATTTTTTCCTTGTACGTATGTGAATATAAAAAAAAAAAAACGTAAATTGAAGCTTTGGATGGACTAGTATAAAGGGACAATCTTAACAGCTTGAAATGATGGGAGACAAAAACCATATAGCAAATGAAAATAATTAAGTAGGAAAAAAGACCATCTAGCGGTGATGTTTTTATTTTAATATCTGTTATTAAATTTATTTTTCTATCAAAATGTCATGTCTAATTATATATATTAAATTAGCCTTGTAAATAAAATGTATATGTAATTTGTAAATGTATTGTTTTCTAATATATATTTATATATACATTATAACATTTCAGAGTACTTATTGTTTATCTAATAAAATTAAAACAACTTATATTACATACACAATTACATTAAAGTACATATGAGAAAGGAAGTTCATTAAATTAAAATATGACGTAAGATTTTTGAGTCTTAAAATATAGTAATTTAAAAAATTAAATTTTTTGGTGTTTTATCTTTTGGAATGAAAAAAAATGATTCAGCTACATATTATTTTAGAGTTTTTTTAAATCAAACAATATTTTCCTTCACAAGAATTAGAAATTTTCAATAGTTTCCGAGAAAATGAGTATCTTATCTTCAATGAATTACTCTATATAAATAGGGTGTTCAGTAAGTAAAGACAAAGGTTTCTATTTATCTCATTGTTTGTAACAAAATGACTTGTTTCCTTATTTTTTGAACATTATACAGAGTGATTCACTTATCATTAACCACCATCATTAATCGAAAAATAAAAATAATATTAATAAGTTTTTTATTTGTTTCTTTTAGTTCAACATTTTTTTCAAGTTTTCAATCTTAAAGTTTTTTTGATGTTCATCCCTTATACCTTATAAAAGTGACAACTTTATATTTTCAAATGGTATCGTACATTATTTAATAAATATTGATGTAATTAAGAAAATGACTGGTCGATAACAACTTTTGGACTAGTACTTCAGAAGTTATTTACATTTTAAAGTAAAGACTAGGTTGAGGAGTTGGTGCTGCAATTCTTATTAATAGTTATTTCCCAACCGTACTCTCTTTCACGTAGGTAGAAAAATGAAAATAACTTCTGAAATATTGGTCTAAAAGTTGTTATCAACCAGTCATTTTTTTAATTAGATAATTATATGATTTTCTATTTTATAATTTAATAAAATATATATGTTACAGTTTGAAAAATTAAATTTGACATCATTTTATATTATAAGGAATGAACTAAAAAGTTTACTGATCAAAACTAGCTGAATATTTATTAAACTAGCAAATAAATCTAGAATTATATATAACTAAAAGAAATCAAAAATTATTTTTCCAATATTGTATTTATTTAGACAGTAATCGAGTGGTTCATGATGATCCGATTACCTTGTATATACAGAGTATATATATACGGGAAAAAATACCATACAAACGGTTAATATAGTGTAATTACAACAGTCAAAATAACCGAATATTCGGTCAACCTAACCATATATTTAATTATTTCAACTGTTTTAATTAAAGTAGTCATTGTATTAATCGTTCATTTTTTCCGTGTATAGTAAATATATTAAATCCTACTTTTCATTTCAAAAAAAAATTATTTCAATTGTTTTAATAATTTTTTTAAATATTTATTTAGATGGATCAAGATGAAGACCCAAAACCGGAAGGCAAACGTCGGCAATCATTAAGCATCGACAAAGCAGCGTTTCTATTACTTAGGATAAGACGAGTGTTCAAAAAGAGAAGTCAAAGTCAACAGCTAGAGAAAAGGTATGTATATTCTTTTAAATACATAATTGTCATGTATGACTTTATTCTATTTCTTTGTGACATGATGATAATCCCTTCTGTTTGTATTGATATTTGAAGACTAATTAACCGAATTCTTTGAATATTGCGTAGTATTTATTTAATAGCACAAGATAATCACCTGAGTTGCGATTTATTTAAAATTAAATTCATAAAAAAAAAAAACTTATAAATAATATTTTACTATATTACTTATATATAAAATTACAATAAATTATTAAATAAGACGTTGCTCCCTTTTAAAGTAATTCGAAATAAACATTTTCGATAAAAAAAATAATGAACACAATTATTTTTCAATAAGAAATCCATCAACTTAATGAGAGAAAAAAAAATTATACATTTTAATTTCTATAGCTGAGTTAATTGAAAAATTTTAATTTTGAAACCTTCGTAACTATTACTGGGTAGCTTTAAAATAAATAATTCAACTAAATATGAAAATCTAAAACGATTCTGAATTGAAGAATGACGGTAGATTCTGTAATACATTGATAAAATTGGATTTCGTCAGATCATTAATTTTGTTCACGTTTGATACTACCACAGTATCTAGAGGGTAACAAAAATAAAATTTATTTTTTGTTCGAATAGTGTTATTTGTTTTCTCAGAATTAGAAATCAATCTTTTGAATAGTCATTGTAAAGATAAAAAAGAGAAATATGAATATACAACATAAAGATAAATTTGTAAAGATATTTTTGATGTAATATTTCAACACATATTATAGAAACATAGAGTATACACTCTTGAGAATGAATGTAAGCAAATGGTTATAACCCATGTGTTTTGCGTTACCATCCTTTTTTTTACTTGTGGTGAAAAGATAATATTGGTATACATAGATGTTATAAAACCACACGATGGTGTTACGAATATACGAATTTCTAAAAATAATCGTTGATGATTGATTATAAAAATTTTATACCGATAAATAAAACATTTATGATGGCATAATTTAATCATCATAAATATTTAAAAAAATATGCAATGAATAATTTTTTTTGATATGTTATAAAATATCTTCAGTTTATTTTTAAAAAATTAATTACTTAATGATTATACTTGGAACAGTTAAATATCTATTATTAATTTACAGCACTAGCAAAATGTTTATAAGTATTGTTATAAAACACAAAATATTTTTTGACAAACTTTTTGATGATATGCACAAAATAATTAACTGTCCCGAGTTTAAGAATAATAATTTTTTTTTTTAATAATTTAACTAATTAGTTAAATTTGTATAAATGGACGTATTTAAAAAAACATATGTGAAGGGCACAAATAAAATTTCATTGATAAGCTGCTGTAATTATATTTGATGACTTATTTGCTTATAATATTTTTAAACTGAAAGATTCATCTAAAATGTTTATTAAGTTCGGTAATATTTAGGACATATGCTACTCCCGACAAGAACGCTACTGGTGACACTATTAATGAATTTAACATAAAAAGTATAATTATTAAAAATAATAATATTTTATATTAAATAAATAAGTACTAGTACTATAAGAAGTATAAGTATTCCACATTGTACGTTTGGTCAACTTACAAACTAGAAAATGATCTAAGAAAGTGATTTATTATAAAGACTATTTAAGCTGGTTAAATATACATGACTATTTAAAAAACTATAGTTGATAAATTTTTAAAGATGATAAGAATTTTTTTGAAAATAAAGCATAGGGTACTAATAACTTTTGAAAAGAAAAATTTATATTTTAAAAGATATTTTATGAATCATTGTTAGGCAATCATCCTATACTTCATTTTAACTACAAATTATATACATATTTTTTTTGTAGTATTTAATAATCTAGAAATTGTGATAATAACCTTTAAATAGTCCTTTAATTATCTCAGTCAGGGAATTTCCGATTTCTGCGAAATGAGTATCATTTCACTCCTTAAAGTGACAACAAAATAATAAAAATTTGAGCTCGACTTTATAAATTTTAGTTCAACTTATAATACATTTATTGTTTGTTACTCAAATTTGTACTTTACTATAAACATAACAGTAAAATGAGTAATAACAGTCATATCATACTGTCATAACAGTAATCTTGATGAGAATCTTGTATCGTCTATTTAATACAATAAAATACCTTTTGAATGATAGAATGATAAAGAGGAAAGGATAGAACCAAGCATGTCCATTAAATAATAATCTGTTTAAACAAAATATACGACAAAAATAGAAATTAAACATATATAAAACCCATTAGTTACAATTTATTGTTAATCTTTAATTAAAAATTTTGGACTTAAACTGTTTGGTGTTAATAAAAATATAATTTTTATTAATTTGTATTTATTTGTTTTTATTGTTTTATATGATAATTTATCATAATGATAACAATAATTTATTATGTTTAGTTAGTTTCCGTGCATTTTATGTAATCTTTATTAATATGATTTAGCGAAACGGTTTAAAATATTAAAGAATATTGATTTTACAAGAGCCAGTACATAATATTATAACGCGAAATATTAGATTTTTTGCGAAGCGTGAGACTTAACAATATTATTATTACTGTTCTGACACACGACACACGCTACGTGACAAAATCATTGCGGAAAGAGCAAAAAGTAGCAATGCGTATAAGTATATTTCATTTAGCTAGCTGTACGTGAAACTCCATCGGGGCGTTGACCATTTTTCACAGGATGTAGCGGTGCCATATATAACACACCCTCACATCGTTTCGTCAAAGCCTGTGTCGAGTATAGTATAAATCACATGGGTTTAAAACTTATTAAATCACATAGAGTGACTGACTTAGCAATCCTACACAATACCAAAGGAGACCAATCGTTACAAAACTTTTTTAAGTATACTTTCACGATTACATGTTACTTATTTTACTATTTTTACTTAAGATGTTAATTACTTATTAATCCGCACACAGTCTATTAACACCTTTATATGGATTGCTAAAATTTACAAGAATTACTATTTAACACGTTCGAATATTTTTATAAAAGAGTAGTAAGCGTTTTAAATATAAATTTTTTAAATATGCTTACGAGAGTTAAATTCTATCCGTCGATGACATGCATAATTTAATAAGATATATTTAAGTGTTAGCCACTGAATGCTTGCATAAATCAGATTAGAAATTTTACCATTTTAGCTTCGATACGAAGCTGAGAAGGTATTGGTTTTACTAAGATGTGTTTTTTTTTTTGTGTCTGTTACCACTTTTTCTCAGCTCTCACTGAACGGATTTCTTTCAACGATACGTCAAAAGATCACAAATCGTATCTAGTCGAAGACATTACACTCAAAAATTGAAAAAATTTCCCTCGTTCCCCGTAAATGGGGGAAACCTCCAAAAAAATTACAAATTTAAAAATCGCTAATTTTCGAAATTTTTTCAATTTTTTTTACTAAAAACTGCTGTAACTTTTTCAAAAATAAATATATTAATATAATTTTTTTTTATAGATGCTTGATGTCTTTACCTATCATTTAGTATATTTTTTTTGTATATCTGACACTTAAATTGCACACAGGGGGGATTTAAAATGACAACTTTTTTACAAAAAATTAACTTTTTCAACTTAACTTTTGAAAATGTTCCAGAAGGTCTGACACTTATATATATATATATTTAAATTCTCGATTTTATTTTTTACATTTTTAACTTTATAATGCTATAACTTATTGAAAAGTGTATGGTTAAACACAATTTTTATATGAGAAATAAAATTTTTTAATAATCCCTTTTTAATTCAGGATATTAATAAGAAAATTGCAGATCATGTAGCTTTTGGAATAATCCACCAGTTTTTTAAAATTAAACACTATCTAAAGATTTGCATCGAAGCGTTTTTTTGTGATAGTGATTTTAATCACTGTCGGATATCATTATACTTGATCCAACTATGCCACGTCACCACTGTGCCGCGACCCCCCTGTGCTGGGTTTTTTCTATTAAACTTAATATGGCCAAAAAAAAAAATAGGAATCTAAAAAAAAGTTAACTATTTCTTATTAACATTATTTATGTAAACTTAATTTTTTTAACTAAAAGCATTAAAGTTTAAATGATTTTAAAAGTTATTTAAATAATTAGTTTTATTTTATTAATTTTTTCAGTGAATTAAAACTCAAAGTACAATATTGAAAATGTGGGTGAAATGTTTATTTAAAGATAAAAAAAAAAACTTAATTTCATAATATTTACCAGCAATAAAATATACTATTTTCAAAGCAGAATTTGTATTTGAAACGGCGTGATTTGAAATTTGACATATTATCTAAATATATTAACAGTAAAAATGATTTTAATTATAGCTATAATATATGGAAGGATACGTTTACAAAATTAAATTATACTGAAAATAATTATTTAGGTAAAATAAACTTACGTTTTTGTAATTATTTTTATAAGAACTTTTTTTATTTTTTGCTTAATACTTTATATTTACACGCTTTATTTCTATCCAAAAACATTTTTTTTTAAAGTTTCTTCATTATTTTTTTATGATTCATTAAACTGTATAAGGAAATGATCGACAATTTTTTTCTGGAAGATAATATATAAAATTAAGATATTATATAAAAAATTTCTTAATTGTAAGAGAATAAGATATTTTTTGTAATTTCTTCATTCTTGTAGAGAAATTCCAATTCCAACTTTGACATTATTCTAAGTTAATTTTATTACTGTAAGTCATTTTCCCTTGTGTTTATAGTAAATAAAACTTTCTTAAGATTGAAAGCATATTGACTAAGTATCATTACAAATAATAATCAAAGTTAATTTTTATTTTTTGTTTAAATTGTATTTACAGCTACATCGCTGACCTGGAAAATAGCGTTTCCGGAGAAGAATTCAAAATTTTCATATTATTCAATACAAAATTACAATATGCAACACATAATCATTCTGTCTAGCTAGACTAAAGGTCAATCTTAACGCCAATTAAATATTTATTGATCTTT